CAGGTGGCAGTTGTCGTTAAGAGGCCTAAAGACCGCTGTGTGCTTAGTAGAGGTATGCTCATTCTGAGCACTTACATGCGATGAATCGCAGTAATAGGTCTTAACACCAGCCCCTTTTTCGTCACAGAGCCCGCATAACTAGTTCATCCTACTTTTGATTTATCTAGTTGGGGTTGATGTGGCTGTGATTAAGCGTACCATGAAGGTTATTATCTGAGTAAATTGGATTTTTTCCACATAGTTACCCGAAACAGCAGCTACTACATTGCAAGGTTAATTGTCCGACAAGCTAAACCAATGGTAATCCCTGTACTTTCTGATGAAAGTAAAAGCTAAATCTGAAAACCTAGTAGGAATTGCTCTTCATCCGAACTCTGCACACTTTGGCGAGGCCAGACGTAGTAGAGTAACACTATAATTCTCAAATGATATAGAAAACTTTCCGCACTTTGCAAACACGTTGCAGCATGGTTAGTGTGGGATACGTATCTACCCTGATGTTCCGTGGAACATGCAACAGTCAAGAAGAAACTCCGAAGAAGGACACAGCAAACCTAACTAAACACTATCTTCATCCATGGTGCGCCAGAGTTTCCTTCACACGATAGTCAAGATGCCGGAAATCACGATTTAGAGCAATGACGACTCATCCGCGAAGCCCATTCCTTGGATACTGTTGTGGCGCTTTCGCTCAAAAGGTTAGCTCTGTCATCAAATTATAGAGGATGCGGACCGCGAATTCTAAAATTTTTGGTTTACTCCGAGTAAGCAGGGACGGATGTGTTACATAGTTAGCACAAAGATTGCAAATGTTTTCCATCGGAAATTCGGTTAAGGACTGCAGATACTTCGCAGCGGCCATTTACGAAACCATCTGAAAAAAAACAGACATCCCGGTTTTGCTCGCTCCTTTACCCAATGCTAATGTAGATCTAGATGAGGGTTTGTGCGTGCCACGGCCAGTGGAAGGTACGAATTTAGGCTGACCTCACATCGATCAACATTCCCACACACCTGACTTCCTTAACACCTGTAGTCTACTAAGGACCGATAAACTAGCCTGCTTGTACAAAATTGCTCAGGGTCCCTTCCATAAGCTGGCCAAGCTGAAAGGTCGCCAGAAATATGAAATCATCGGCATCACGGAGACGGGGTTACACACTGAAATGATGGCCGATGAAATTTCGCTACTAGGCAGTCACTCATTCGGAATGACTGACTGACAGAAGGAGGAGGCGTAATTCTGGATTACCGAAGTGACTTATATTGCGAGATCATGGGGGATTCAGATTCGCTGATTCCTTATTCGCGTTGGTGCCGTCTGTATTTAAGAGGCAGAGACACGCCTTTTAGCGTTGGTGTAGAGCCCCCCCCCCAATTCTACATCCGAAACGAACTACCGTATTACGACTGCCCTACGGCGAACTCTAAAATGAACATACACTTCCATCTTGATCATGGGGGATTTCAATGTGCATTGTTTAGAAGCCACTGTCACCAGTGTAGCACATTTTAAAGCCGTTCTGCAGGAGCTTGTAACCAGTGTTCCGCTTTATAATTATGTCACTCCGCCCATTCGGTTCAGAACATGCAATTGGCCATATGTGTCCGATCTTGTACTTACCAACGAAGAACAGGTGATTGATGTGTTGGTTGCAGACTGCCCGTTAGCTCGGGATGATCATGCAGTTATTAGTTTCAACTTCATCTGCTATGCAGAATATAGAGATGCGGACCATGAAACGGCGCGAACCACCACACGCTACGACCGATTAGTCCACCTCGGTAGTGTCTCAACCTGGTCCTTCCTCTCGTAGACCCACCGTATGTCGCCTGGCTTGAGTTCGTAAACAAATTCAAACGGCTGCCTATGGCTACTTCAGAGACAGTAGTTTGCAAATGGTCTGAAACATTTACTTACTTAAAGAGCAGAACGCGAAAATTCCGACAGTACGCAAAGCAGCGTGTCGAGAGTAAAGATTATCCCAAACACCAGAAAGCTAGGATGAGCCCGTATCCCAACCAAACCACTGCACTCAACTGCTCAAAGTGGCGAAAGCCGCGCATCAGCAAAGCATTATAAAACCTTCAGCGCCAATCATAAATTGCTGTTTAGCACGTTAATGGTATACGGAATGTGAGTCAGGGAGTTCCGCCGCTCAAGACGGCTGATGACCCAACACGAACGGCTACGGAAGCAGCAAACGCACTGCGGATACAATATGCCCCCACCTTCTAGATGGTATTGCCATCGAGAGATCCTTCAGCTTTTCTCGCCTCGTCGCCGGGACTTACTCATATCTCCTTTACCACCGAAGCTGTCTAAAAGAAGCTGACTATTCTAGGTAGGCACAATCCCCGAGTGTCGATACTATTCGCCCAGAGGCAGAAGGAGCAGCAGCAATTCAACGGGCAGAGTCACTAGCCCAGTTCTTCCAGCCCTGCCTAGAGCAGAACCAGGTTCCAGTTATGTGGAAGCTTGTAATAATAACACATTCACAATGGTGGTAACAGAGCCGAGGCTTCAATCTACAGCACAGTTTTCCTTCTCCCTTTACTGTCCAGTGTGCTGGAATCCATCCTAGCTGATGCGCTGTTGGGCTCTTTGGAAAACTAACATTAGTACTGGTGAGCAGCACGGATTCAGTCGAAATCGATCGTGCACAACGAATTTGCTAATAGCACGATGCAGCTGGACCCAGTCAGTCGACATTGGAAAGGATGTTGATGTGGTCTACATGGATTTCTCCAAAGCACTCTACCGTCTAACTCCTCGGAAACTCCTTTCCAATCTGCAGTGTTACGGGCTCAGTGATCTTCTTCTAAACTGTATCGCCAACTATCTCCTTCAGCGGCACTTGGTGGTCGGAGTTCGGATCTCCATCTCTGAGCCCATACAAGTTGAGTGTGAAGTGCTTCAAAGCTCAGTGCTAGGTCCTCGTTTGATTTGTTATTTATCACTGACCTCACACGGGCAATTACATCCAACTTCCTGCTGTTTACTGACGAAGTCTAGAACTGGTGCAAGGGTCGGTGAATAATGACCGGCAACTGTTCAAATCCATCTAGACACGGTACATCATTGGTCCATCTAGAATTCACTGCAATTCATTGTGAGTAAATGCAAGGTGCTCTCCATACGACACCAGCGCAACCACCGTTACAGGCTCGGAATGCAAGTGTTGCAGCGCGCCGCCACCGAAAGTGACCTGGAGGTACTGGATCAGGATGATCTGGGTTATTCCATGCAATCCACGAAAACATCCAAAACTGCTGGCCAACAAGCGCGCCTGTTACGACTGGCGTTCGGACAAATAGATCGCTCTATTTTCCGGCAGATGCTTAGTGCGTATGTTCGTCCTCATGTCGAATATGCAATTCAAGCTTGGCACGCATGGCTAAAAGACGGCCTCAGTGCATTGGAGCAGCTCCAACATCGAGTAGCAATGTACTTTATTAAAATGCACCACCTTCCATACTGGGAGTAGCTGGAACTATTGGGGCATTCAACGGAGCTTACCGCCTCTTGCGATCTTAATTCGCACTATCCACCTCACGTGTGCCACTCTTTGCTGCAACTCAGTAGTAATACTGACGTGAGAGATCACTCACTAAAACTGGTAGAACAGTACAGCCGTCTGAATTGCCGCAGGAATTTCTTTTCCGTCCGCGTGTCACCCGTGGAATGCTCTTCCAAAATCGGTCATTTTTGCGTCATTACTAACCATATTTAAAAGGCGTGTGGATGACTCACTTAATCACCTACAGTTGCTTACCTAGTATTACATCTTCATCCCACTTCTGGAATATGCTTTGGATTTGGTTGCTGTTACATGTTTGTGCTGCGAAACTACACGGATCGCAGGACCACAGCGAAAAAAAAGTAGGTCCCTCTTTTAAACGTAACTAACCCACTGTTTTTTTATTTTCCGATAACCCTGCAAAATCAGCCAACGGACATGCAAAGCATTTATGCTTGCCCGGTAAAAATTTTGTTCATTGTTCATTACTAGTCTGTGGTTAAGACCACTCAGACACGGGAGATGGTGACGTTCGTCGTGACTAGGTTACATGTTGTCATATAACGCCGCTCATTATCTGAATGAGTCGAGAGGTGACAAATTGCTACTTGAAACACAAATCTAAACTCAGCTACCTGCCGGATAAATACGCCCTAAGATGCTCTCAAAGCGCTTAACTGATCGAGGTGGTGTTGTTCTCTAGGCCAAATTAAGTAGCAATGATTGCGCGTATAAAGAATTCGGCCTATATCGATGAGCTGAATATCAGAGGTAATGCAAAATTCGGGAGGATGGATTAGATACAAAGACAAGACGGTTGCAGTAGGAAAGACGGACACAAGGGCATTCCGTTGCCTGAAGCTAAACCGAGCATCAGCAATAATGAACTTTGTTATCGTTGATGCAACATTTCATCTAGATAAGCTTATTAAAATAGAAGAGATCGGTTTTGATCATAGTGCGCAAAGCACAAGGTAAGCGAGGCTGTGATCCATGAACTTGTGACTGAGTGACTATTAACAGAAACAAAAGTGCTCACTTAAAAATGTTGAAATGGTTATTGCGCAAAGTCTAGGTCTGCAGTGACGAACATCCATGACCGGGATCGAAAATCCTAACTGCAACTGTATTATATAAATGACACAAGTCAGTACGCGGTTCGTATCTCATGCTCCAAGCATGTCATGAATTCATGCAATGAATTTTTATTACGCTGTTTTATGCACCGCTGTATCCCCTGTGCTGCTGATAGCCATTGTTGGGTTGTATACAAACAAAGATACAAATATCACGGCTACTGCTGAGGTAGCATTTACACATAGTAGTTCTGATACCATAGTATTTCGTTGAACGGTGTTGGATATTGTAAACAATTGAGCATTGAGTCAACGAAACAACGTGTTTCTTTGGAATGTCAGCCTAAACCGCTCATCAACCCCCGGTAACATTAGAAAACATTGGAACCGCCAATCCGTGGTATTTTCTTTTTAATAACCTTTTCGAAAAGACATTGTAACTCAGGGGTAACAAGTTTACACAAATAGTAAGAAGCCAGTAATATGAAAAATGGGGAAAAAAAGATGGAACAGAATGTTTCATTTGAATTACCTTGAACAAAACAGCTTTTGTGGTTTTTTTTATCATTTTTGGTACATAATGCTACAGTGAATACAGTTGAAATCATTAGCAACATTTACACTTTCCACATGCTTTCTTCTTGTGCGGGGTTTGGGATACTAGAAACTTGTGCTTCCCAGCGTCACAACTGTAAACTAGATAAGGTGCCTTCTGTGTCCCCTCGGGTGGCTGATGCACAGCATGGCCTGACCAGAGTCGACCAAATGTTTCATCTAGCTGACGTAGGGCTGCATTAAGACTTGCTTCAGGCGCCGCGGAGTTGTAGTGTTGCTTAGCGATCATAAATACATCATCGCGCATTGAGTCAGTCATGTTGGTTTGATAGATAACATCCATTTTCGGCTGGTCTTTCCTAACGGAAGGGACAAATTAATGGCGAAAGAAACGGTATGTCTTCATGCATTCACCTTATAAGAAAAAATGAACAAAACTATGTGCTATGTTACCCGTAAAATTGTCTAAACATTGATACTCAAGCTGTCGGTGCGCAGTAGTAATGTTGTGATGCTGTGAAAAGTATATTACGCAGGTCGTGGTCGTTGTCAGATTTAATCAAACTCTTCACACGTGATGCAAAACAACGCATTTTAATTCCATCACCTAAAATTAATGGTCCAAAGACACAGTAGAACTAACTATTAATGAAATACTCGTTGTCGCCTATTTGAAAATTCTTAACGGCAACTGCTTTTTAGAAATGACGCATGTCGCTGAGCACTTGGAAGCTGTATTTTCAAACTTGTTACAAAAGCATTCTGTGAATTTTACTACCCCCGTTTTATACACCGGTCTAATGCATTTGGTGCTGGCAGTGACGTTGAAATATTCAAACGAACACTTTTTGCTAACTTAGATATACAGAGTGTCCCAAATTAATTTATACACACTAAATGCATATAAACTAGCTTTTTATTAAAATTGTAAAATTTTTCCACATTAAAAATATTTACTAACAGCATTTTATCTTTTTGTTATCGCCTGTTCTCAACTTTCCTTTCCAGCAAGATGGGGCACTCACACTATCATCATGATGTTTGATCCTTTTTTGATAATATCTTGCCAAACGAGTGGATTGGCCGGAAGATTTCCGTTGAATACCCTCCGCTCCCACTAGACCTCACACCACTAGCCGTGTTATGGGGATATTAAAAAGACAAAATCTACGCAACAAAAACCACAACAGTTGTTGATTTGAGAGCGGGCATTGGACGTGAATGTGCTCCAACCCCAAGGGAATTGTTTCTTGCTGCATTCTACTCCGTTGCTACATGTTGTCAGCAATGTCTGGAACATAACCGGCAGCAGTTTGAGAACAAGCGAAGCCGAAACAATACAATGATGTCTGTAAATGTTTTTACATCTTAAAAATGGATCCAATCCAAATAAACATCTACATTACAAGTATTTAAAGTGTGTAGCCATTTTTGGACATTCCGTATATATACATCTAGATCTTCAACTATTAAATAATAAACTACTAACATAGAGCCATAGCTCATGTTTAGCAGCAAAAGAAGAAGGAAAAGACCGTTATAGGTAAAAATCTCACAACATATTCGTCATTCGCAGCGGTTCCGGGCCAAGTCCGATAACGTTTCCATCCAGGTGTGCTCGCTGTCCTTTGGCCATAATTCCAGCATGCTACAACATCCCACTTTAGCCAACTGTGACGTCAGCGCCTTGACACCCCAGAACTAGGTTTCATGTGGCCAACCTTCCGTCATTTCCAATCAACTCCAAGGCATACAAATAAGAGGCGGTGGGATAACCGTTGAGCACGCATACGAAAAACGTTCCCTAGCCTTTAGAGATCACGCAAAGAAATTATGCAGCTCAGCGGTCAGCTGAGTTTTACTTGTTTATCTGACATCGAACATCGTCACTACTAATCGATGCTGCCAACGTACACCAGCAATACTCCCAAAGCAGCGTTGAGAAAAAAACAGACAGTATATGGACATCGTTCGCTTTAACGGGCCAGGTCTCGCAGCCATTCAAGAGAACAGTTGATATCGCAGAGTTGCAGACTCAACCTTTTAGTGAAACGCTTAGATGACGCTGGCGGCAAAACTTTTGGAATTCGGCAGACTACTCTGACCGTGGAAATGCGTAAGTTCTTTTTATCTGTTGGTCTACGCATGCTTTTTTAAATCCGAAAACATATGAACTTCTTGACTGCTTCCAAAGAACAGCCGGGGAGGGTGAGGGTAGAAGTAGCTTCTAACAAGTCCTGGAGGAAAAGCTTGCACTTCAAATGAGCAAAGGTCATTCCGAACCGTGTTACAAAATGTGCAGGATGTCCTAGACAGTTTGTGATGTGTCACAGATTAAAATGATGTCGTCAACATACTCCAAGATATGAGGCCGATAATGCAGCAACAACCGACGCCACTAAGATCGCAGTTTTCCAAAGCAATATCTAACGTGTCATCCATGGCGAAATTGAACGAGACGGACGACGGTTAGTAACACTGCCTATACTAAAGTGGGAAGAATTCAGCGTTACACCAGCACTTGGCTCGAAAAATGCTAACTCAAGAAAACGGCTCCGTCATCTGTGTCAGATGCAGCACGTATGTCCAGAAGGCAGATAACGACAAGCCGACTAAAAGCTTGACCGGGTTGTAACATCTGATGGATCGTCAAGGTGTGATCGATACAGCCCCAACCTGAGTTAAACCTACTCTGTTGTTCAAAAAAGTTCAGTTAACCTACTGGAATGAGACTCTGTAAAATCGGGGATGTCAGCAATGTGGACCCAACGTGTAGGAGAGTAATCTCGCGGTAATTGACGAAATTCATTTGTTGCCTCTTCTGGAGATGGACCAAAAGTCCGCTGATCCTCAATCAGATGGTATGACTTATGAAGTCCAAATAACTTAAAAGACGGCAGTTTAAAAATGAGAGACAGACATTCATTGTTAAAAATGACCGACGGTAATTCGAGAGAACCTGGAGATTTGTAACGACCAAGCAGACAAGGCTCATATAAAACACTGTGAATACAAGAATGGCAATTCCAGAGCAAGGATGGCCAGTTGAACTGCTGTTTGGAGCTCCCTAACCGACGTACAATCTGACGTTATCAATTGCGAATTGGTTCATTGACAGTTTTACATACCACTTCGCTTACAGTTAGCTTTTTGTCACCTGTAGATCAGATAATAGAGAATAGTCTGCAGAAGTTCCGTGAGGATGCAGTTTGCTCCACATCGATGACACGCTGTGTCAACCAGGCTTCGTGAACTGTCCTGAGGAACTGCTAAGCTCGATGTTAATTGCTCATCGCAGTGATTTATACTTAGTACCGTCGGGACTTGTCCGGTAGCCTTCCATCAAATGAACAGATCGACTGAAAATCCATCTATGGATGTGTGACCTAGCGAAAATGCAGGTGAAGCTGGAAGACTAGGGCACGACGCTCCAGATGTGTCCAATGCGTCTCAACATCTGAGAGTGGATGACTCTTCAGATTACTAGCTAACGAATTCTGAGGGGCATTGAAAATATTTGGAGTGACAAATTTGGCTACTTCAAGCAGTCACCTACGACACTCTTTAGTGACAGCAAAGAGCAGGACAAATCTCGAACATACATAATTATGTTTAGACTTAAGTACTCCCATTTGCTTTGTAGTCCTTTACACAGCCTTTCCATCCGCGAATGATGGCTTTGAACAATGAAGAATGAATGTATGCGGGGTAAGAAACAATACTTTATACTACCATTTGGGTGGTCTGCTTGGTTATTATAAAACGTTGATGAACAAACTGCATTTAGTAGTTTTACTGCCAAACGAATGGAGTTATCAAATAAAATACAGTAGTACTGCACTCCGAATTTTTCCATAGCTTCATTTGGCGCAAAATTAAATACAAATTACTTCCCGGGAGTAGCAAGTAGGGATAGTGCAGATTAAAAAATGTTCGTGGCTGAATGCGTCGTCTAACCGACTTGCAAATTTGGCTAGTGTCGGTGCAGTAGCGACCAATATGGGAGGAGCGTTCCTTGAGTGCCACAGGTGAATAAAAAGGCACGTTTCACGGTAATCCAGACTGCTGTACTGTTCTTTCAGTTTTATTGCGTGATGTCACAAGGTTGTGTTTGCTGTGAGTTGCAGTAAAGAGCGGCACACATGATATGGATTGTGTAAAATCATGCATGCCATTATCACGTCGCATCGTAGTCGGCGATACTGTCTGCTGAATAATCCCAAATGTTACAGCCTTTGTTTTATGATAGATTGGGCATTCCAATGACGTATTTGGAACTCCGGCTTTGAGGTTGAGCGAGTGCAATGAAGTCGTGCTTCAGTCATGGCTGCCTGGTTTGAATTGCATATTCGCTATGCGGGTGAACATCCGCACTTAGCAAATGCCAGAAACTAGAGGTATCTATTTGTCCGAACCCCCGTTTAAACAGCCCAACGTGTTGGGCACCAGTTTTTGATGCCTTTTCAGATAGCCGGGAACAACCCAAGTTATCCTGAACCAGCATGCTCAGATCGCGTTCGACGGACCATCGCTGCAGTATTTGCGCTCGTAGCCAGTTGGAGTAGGTACTCTAGCGTATTACCGTGCATGTGGTCCCCTTGAACGGGAACAGATTTTGGGTTTACCATTGATACACCATATTTACTTCACACCAAAGCAAATTTTGCTCTGTATCCGCCTGAATCCAGCGTCAAATCTTGATGTCGTCAGCAAACAGTAGGAAATTTGAAGTGATTGTCTGTGTCTAATTATTGATGAACACCAAAACAACTGTGGCCTTAGAACGGAGCCCTGAAACACCCCACACTTGAGTTGTATAGGGTCATATAAAAATCTCCGGACTCTGCGCGCTGACTGTCCTTGAAGGTCACCGATGCTACAACCTCAAAGCATGGAAAAGGGAATCTGAGGATCTAAACGATCGAATGCCTTTGACAAATCTACGCAGATCACGTCAATGTCCTCTTATTCGTCAGCTGACTCTGTCCAACTACTCCGTGCCATTAGTCAATTCGTTGCGCACGATCTACGCCGACAAAAGCCGTGTTGCCTGACAGCAAGTGTTACTATTTTCCAGATAATACACCAAGGAATCGGCAACGATTGATTCCATTACTTGAACCCTAAGGGATGACGAGAAAATTGGCGGTAGTTTGAGGGTTCGGTCTTGTTTCTGTCCTTGTAATTCGGAGTTACTGTTTCAAGCTTCCACATCGCAGGAGTCTGATTCTTGTCTAAGCAGCGCTGAAAGAACTGAGCCATGGGTTCTGCCAGTTGGCTTGCTGCTGCGCTCGGTGCTTCTGGGCTAGTGGTATCGACAGTCATGGAGCTGTAGATGCGCAGAGACTTCAGTGTCTACAATACTGCTTCACCAGTAAAAGAGTTGTACGGGAGTTCTGGAGGCGAGACTACAAAAGCGGAAAGGTCCCTGAATCGTAAATCCAACTTAACTGCGGCCAATCTGTCTCCACGACTGTTCAAGCGAAAGGACTGACCAGATGACGCGCAGGCACCGGCAACGCCGAAAGATTTTGCTCGAGAGGAACAAACCGGGACCAGAGCAGAGCTACAGAAGGCGATCTACGTTATCTGGCCTGGGTGTACCATGGCCATACTGACCAACGTGGTACTGTTCATCAGCTTCGAGTCTACTAACCCGCATGTTTAATTCTTAAACGAGTATAATAGTATACCTGAAGCGCTTCAGATGTAGAAGATAGGAAGGTTGGGGGTAGAATTCAGCTTTACCTGAGTCAGGGCTGTAATCGGTGAGAGCATGAAGTAATACGACAAACCCTCATCGTTCGGTAGCCTGACAGCAAGCCCTTTGTATGGAGCTTCCTGGCCGAAATGCACAGAGCCGAATATTAACTGGGATCAAATCAAACGGCGCTGTTTCTGTGGGCGCACTAAAGGTAATTTCCACACCGGCAAGGACGGTGGCTTCATCAGTTGCGTCTCCGGATAAGCGTAGTATAAACATACCGTGGGAACAGGTAGAGGGTGATGTCAATCGTAGGGTTGTACTGCAGCAATGTAAATGTGTCTCGACAAGGAAAGAGATATCAGTGGCGATGTTTTATGGATTGCAAGCAACGGCTGCCTGCATGATCGTCCGGACATTAAAAGTAACCAAACTGGATTAGGAACCGAGGGCTAGAAAAATCCTGTCTTCATGATTGTACAGTACATGGACGGTCCTGAACTGCTTATCGACATGGCTAGAACCGTACCACAAGGCGGCACTTTGCGGGAGACCAGACGTAACATGGGGTTGTCAAGCGCCACATATCCTTTGTATGATAGATTGGATAATGCACGGTCGAAGCGTGCGGCCTGGAACCCGACATACTAACTGGGTGCGTAGTTCCGTGTCCTGGTGCTATATCCGTCCGAAAGTCAGTTTTGAATCATAAACCCCACAGGTACACTTGCTTTGAATTTGCCATCACAAATTTCAGAATGGCAGTTTGGAAAATTCAAATAAGCTAGTAGCTGAACAGTAATTTGCAGCTAGATACTTCTTTTCGCATCTCACACAACCCATGCCTACTTACCGACTTATATTACTACTTCACTAGGTTTGCTTCAGTTCGTTTAAAATCCACTTTGTGCAACCACTTGCTAGCTCTTCCGATATCTGTACGCGGTATCTTGTTAAACAATTGTATTTGGATAACCTACCGACTTATTGAGGCAGTCCGCTTGCATAATGGCTCATCATTTCCTCAGTCAAGTAAACAGTCTGCTATGTAATCATCGACGCACTGAGCTATGCTCCAATGTCAACGTGAAAAAGACGGATTACTTTGGGGGTTTGTCGTAGAATTTGTTAGAATATCGACACAAAAGCATTGTCGTATCCTAACTTCCGAAATGTCCTTCCGAAAATGGGTCAGTACACCAAATTGCATCTGACTGTGTATATCTACAACGTGTATTGGCAAGCGTGACCTACACACTCAACACTTTAATGACATGAGTATGGTCATCATCGACCGCTTTCCTTTCTGATGCGAGCCTCGTAGCCACTTAATCGTTTTCATTGCTGTCGTGGATCCCTCTCGTGTTCATTAGAAGAGTAAGCCCATATAACATTTTACAAACGCTGTACGTTGGTCCTATATGGAAGGCACCTCATTCTAGCTTCATTAGTTACAACTGACCGACAATGTGCGAGTATTTTACCACATGCCGAGGGATAATATGCTAGATATATATTCAAGTGACCATAATGACGAGTGTACTGCGATTTAACGCCAGCGCCACAACATGATGACGAGAGGCTACAAAAAACAGTTCGCAAAGCTGCACGGTTATTTGGATTGCGTTTACATTTATTCTGTGTATAGGAAAACACTGAACATACTGAACACCAAATTCGCGGTTACTGTCGCTCTTCAGCATCAAGCCATCCCTGGCCTAGGACGAATGACGCTTCACGGTATCGTTTTCATTGATTAGGTCTGAGCCAAACGAAGGGGTTTTGAGTATCAAATTCAATATGCCTCTGAATCTCTTCACAGTTTATTATCCACTTATGAAAGTAGGTTATTAGCTGATTTTGTGAAATTAACCCCTACTGTCGATGGGTCAAGGAGTAAGTTCATCGCTTTTCTCGTGACATGGCACTGTTCTATTTGGTACAGAAATGTTTTGGTAAAAGTGGTCACTTACTGTAGCTTCGGATTGAGGCCTAGTGTCTGGCAGATGGTGGAAAAGGTTATTTGGCCGGTATTCTGAGGATCAAACAACGTCCTCCATTTCTAAATTGACGAATAAAGACAAAGTAAAAATGGAGCAAGTGATTACTACCTCCGATAATCACGTAGGAATGAATGACAAAATTTTACATTAAATAACATGGGCATGTTGAGTACCTAATCATTCTCACCTGTTCCACACCTGTCGGACATGGTACAGAGGCTTTTACATGTGCTCTCCATCGTGAGAGGTTCCATAGCTTGTATCTTCGGTTATTTATTTATCTATGTCGCCATATTCGTAAAATTGGATTTTTCATTAAATGGTTGGGTGGGAGGTGTTGTTTAACTACTGCGAGGGGAGTTAAGCAAACTTACGAGCCAGCTAATGTTTCACCGCCATGCGAAGTGGCATCTTCAGTGCGGTAATAGGCAGTGTAAAATCCTACTTATTGAATCGTCAGTCAGACCAAAATTTGAACTTCTATATCAACAAGCCAAAGTGCCACAAAATAAGTTTCGTGCGGACACTGTTTCGCAGGATTGAAACACACTGCAGTAGAGTGGAAGCCAAACGGGAAGAAAAGAAACACCTGTTCGATTCGTTCCAGCACAATGAATACCCACGCAGCTTCATCCGCAGATGTCTAAACCACAAACCTATGAACACCGAGCCGATACCAAATGCAAGCAAGAGGGTCGTTTTGCCGTATATGAAGAACATATCTGAAATGACTGCCAGATTGCTCAAACAACACAGCATCGTAGTCGCTCATATGCCAACCGCTACTTTGAGAAGAATACTGTCAAACCCAAAGGACATTTGGAATGCACAAGAACGAACAAACGTCATGTATAAAATAAATTGCAATAATTGTGAAATGAAATATGTGGGACAGACAGGAAGGAAACTATCCACAAGAATACAAGCACATCAGAGGGTTTGTAAAAAACATTATACATCGTCTCTTGTCTCAGCGCATGTGCATGAGGAGGGACATAGCATCAGTTGGAACAAAACGATGATTTTAGCTCAAACAACAACACAGAAAGGAAATGAATTCCTAGAAGCATGGTACTCCTCCAATAATTGGATCAAAATGTGCATCGACATCGAACCCGTGTACCGTCAACTCAGAAAGGATGATCTCCGGCGAATCGCAAGTCATGGTTCAGCCGCGAAAGCAAATGGGCAGAGACCACATGACGCAAATCGAAATTGCCACTTTCAAAAGTCACCTGCTCGTGGATGACGGACTGACGATTCAATAATCAAGATTTTACACTGCCTATCACCGCACTGAAGATGCCAACTCGCATGGTGGTGAAACATTAGCTGGCTCGTAAGTTTGCGTCATAATCATCATGGCATGCTAGTTAAAGGTGAGCAACACACTTCAACTAATATACCGCAAGAAGAATGGAACATTTTGACAAAAAGTAGAACAAAACATTTTTAGTTTGTTGTCCACATGCCGATTTTGCTCTTTTTTGTCATTTTAAATGTTTGTAGTATTAAACAAGTAAATCAATACAATACTGTACACAATTCTTCCACTGATTCCGATTGCTGGCCATGTCTTCAAGGGTGTTAATCCATTGGCGCTCCTTATCTTTGGGGCCCCCATCCTAGAAGACGGACGTATCCAATAGCGGCTAGACACGACGTCAGCGACTTCATGTGCTGCCGCCAAGTCGAAGGCTGACCAACACGCGGTCGCCTCCAGCCAGGTCCTTGACGAGCGAATATAGCGCGACGCAGTAGACGCTTAAGTTCCATGCGTAGGACGTGACCGAGCCATCTTAAATGGTGCAGCAAAACCGGTTTGTTGAAGGGAATACTCGTATTCCCCCAGAGGCGACATCGAAGGTCAGTACTGTTAACCTGATGTTGCCACCAAACACGAGCGAGGGGATAGCCTACGGAGCAGAATGGATGCCAATGGCTTGGAAGCAACCGAAACATCCCTACTCCCGAGATGATTTACACCTGAAGTGCGAGCGTCTTTCTTAAAAATCGAGACAATAACTGATTCGCCCCAAGGGAAGACACTTTCTCTTCATGCCAAATTTTTGCCAACAGCGCGGTCAGCTGGTTAATGCTCGCCACACCGCCGTAATTGAAAAGCTGCGGAGGAAGTCCGTCTAAGACGGCAGCCTTGAAGGGCTTCAAGCCTCGAAGCTCGAGGCAGACTTCTGCTTCGCTAGGTGGATTCAGAGGGACGAGTCAGGGTGGACAACAAGGTGTACTGTATGTACTGATGGATGGTGGAGGCCAGTTGAACTGCGAATGAAAGTGCTCGGCCCAGCGGTCCGTGCGCTTCTGTTGGTTGGTGATCGGAGACTCATCCACCTCACAAATGACCTCACTGACACCAGGCTTCCTGAGGCTAGTGGACCAAATGAGTTGGAAAAGCCTGCGAGTGTTGCCAGAGAGGGCAGCGGTCTCCATCTCTAAAGCACGCTCAGACCACCATACCTAGCGATCCTTGCGTAGGCTTTGCTTGAGTAGCCGGTTGGCAGAAAGGGCGCTGCTCGCTACAACCTGATTCCGCGGGGATGTCTTTGAGGCGTTCGAACAGGTCCAGAGAACGAGCAGAGCTCCAAGCCTTCAAGGGGGGCGTCGAGTTAGGTCGCAGCATGACTGTCCGGAAATGGTCAGGGCTTTCTGTATACAAGTCCAGCGTTGTTCCACTTCTTGCGGTGGATTGCAACTGAGTCCATGTGCCAGTGAAGACTGATAGCTCACCTGGACAGAGGAATCAGTTTATGTGTTTACATCAATCTTGCGGTGCTTCGTGTTTCGGGATCCTCCAAAACACATACGGATTTTCGCGTAGACCAGAGCATGATCTGAGTCAACGAAGGTGGACCAAAAGGACATGTAGTCTAGTATGCTGCCGCGCCATCTGAAGCTAATTTGTCGTGATCAATTTGAGACCACGGTTGTGTTGAAGAAGGGAGATGCCACGTTGCAGAACGCTTCTTCGTACGCCTGAAGTTAGTGCTCGAAAGAAACAGACGGTTGTCCTCGCACAATGTGAGAAGTCTCTCTCCGTTATCAGAGCGGTTCTCATTTAGCACGTGATAACCACCAAGGTGGCGTTCGTATGGTAACAAGCGGCCAACCCGTGCATTTAAATCCCCAGCAAGGATAACGACATCCGATATTTTAGCATTAATCAAGAGCTGTTGTAGATCCCGGTAGAATTCGTCCTTGACCGAGTCGCCACTGCAGTCTGTTGGAGCGTACACGGAGGTCACATACAAGTTGCGTCTCTCTTTGCAGTGCCTGTTGATTCTACATGAACCCCGAAGCCGAACTGCACATAGTCGGCTGTTACTAGCGCACCAGTGCAGTAGTTCCTCCTCGGTCTTGCCACTTAGTGCTACACCTACGCCAGCCAAACCCGCTGAGGCTGCTTCTGGATCTCCAGAAAGACGCAGGTGCTATCTGGCTACGTGGTCAATGGGGGATGTCAGTGTAAGCACAGTGCTGGGATCTTGCAATCGGGTTTCTGAAAGGCAGCAGACATCAATGTCTCGGGAATCTAGGGTGCGCGCTAGACCGGCTTGCTGTCCAATATCCATGAGTGTCCGAAGGTTGAAGCACGCCAGACGAAACGAGGATCGGAGAAGAAGGAGAGTCATAGGTTGAACTCCTTGGTCTGCGGCGCAACCGGAATCGCAACCAGATTGTTGAACACTTGTTTCGGATAACGGAAAGTAAGGATTGTTAACAAACAAACAATTGGCGTGTGATGAAATAGCCTGAAAGTGACTAGCAGAAACAGTAGCTGATGAGCACGTTGTAATACAGTCCATGGTTTTGTGAGAGGGCCTGATACTTTCCGGTTGACCAAGCCGAAGTAGGGAGTTGACTTAGGAGATTCCACCCTGAGCCTTTGGCTAAATAACCTACCCGCAAGGCAGCGGGGCGAATTTAGGGAATCGCACAAATTGGGAGGCGTTGCCTGAATGATTAGTTCATGCGTCTTTGTTTGGTAGATTAGCAAATAGGGCTCAATACTCGCCATGAAGTCAGCACACCTCCTGGAATAAAAAGTCCCACCGAATTGGATAGCTCTGTATCTGGAACCAAAATCTAAACATATACCTCATAATAAGCCTGTAACCTAGAGAGAATTATAACATCGGTAGGGATTAGAATGTAAATAATTTTGTCTACGTCTGCTTAGAAGCGCCGTTTCACTCATGAAACAAGCTTTGCTTTATGTCAGATACCTCTACAAGTTTTAAACCTGCGTTCATACCATTAATATGCAAAGCCTTGAAAAGCGTTCCCGTCTTTCTAAAAATTCAAATTCCGTTTGGCTCAAATCCTTTGTTTTTGTTGCGCTCGACCCTAACTAAAATCTTAATCTACGAAAACCAAAGTGCTAAGTACCCGTGAAAGCAAGCGGTAGAAAGAAGGAAAGAAGAGTGACTGACTGCTACGCGTCAACAGCTGGTTAGTATAAGCGAGCTTCAAGGTATATTTTTCCTGTAGTACCAAGTTCGACTGTTTAGAAGCATTTTAATTGCACAAGCATTCAAGTGACACATTTTATTGATCCAAATAGCTGAATACACTATGACCGCAGCGTCTGGGTCTTACAATAACTAGTTGTTAAAATGCTCCATTTGGGCGAATATCCGGTTAGAGTTGCATGGTAGAATACTCCGACCCGGATATGGTGACATTAAAGTAAATTTTATGGTAACAATACCTGAATCACGAACAGAACGACATAGCGTCGAACCAACTTGTCCAACACTGCGTTCAACTCCGTTGTGCCATAATCTCATATGGACTAGTAACAAAAATACCGAGTAGGACATTCAAATCATGGAACCTGTGACAGTGACTGACCACTAGCTATCCACCACCAGCCGCGGCCCGCCTTTGCCACCGTCTCCTACTCCAGAGCCAATGTCAAACAGCTGGAAGACAAGCTATAAAGTCCTAGTTAGAACTGCGAGTTAAGTAGATTTGTGGCCACCGGCAAAAGTATTATTTAAAATGCTTGGACGGTAATAAAAATGAGCAAATTCTTGACACC